TGATCCTGTAGGACAGAGTAGATCTGTCCCATACAGAATTCTTAGGCTGTAATCTTTTTGGGAGCAGATTACCAGGTTTTTTTCCCGTGGAGCAGTTGGTGGGTTTGAACCACTGACCTTTCTGTTATAAGCAGAGTTCTTAACCATTGCACCACTAGGGCTCCTTCTTACCCTTATTAACCGCCCTTCATCCTCACATTCACCACCTCGGAAACCCAAATGGGGTCGCTGTGAGTTGGAATTGACTTGGTGGCAGTGAATTTGGTTTTGGTTTTTGGTAATCCTCACATAGAGCAAGCTTCATTTCGGAAGTGAGGAAGCTCTTCCCAAAATGTGTGCCTGGCCCACTGTATCACCTCTTCCAGGTCCTTTCTCAAATGTTACTTCTGTGGTGAGGCTTTCCCTGACCACCCTGTTTAAATGTACACTCTCCAACTTCCCTGCTTTACCTTTCCACAGAACACTTGACATAGCGTCTAACATACCATCTAGGTTTTTTTACCATCTTTTTCCCCTCTCTCCTCTGCCACTACCCTGACCAGAACGTCAGCTCCGTGAGGGCAGGGATCTGTGTCTGTTTTGTTCACTGCTTTTTCCCCAGCCCCTAGAACTGCCTATCACATAGACCTCAATAAATACTCTTTGGATGAAGGAATGAATGAATGAGACTAAGGTGAGTTTCATAACTTGCCTGATGTGACAGCACTGAGACCTACTCCAGGGCTGTCTGATTCCAAAACAACATGTTCAGTGCTGTGCTATATGGCTTAGAATCAGAGTGAGGACTGAGGCACAGCCCAGAGGCCATGCCCAGAACACGGGGCTCGGGTTAAACTCAGTGGCTGACAAGGACCCTTTGGACCCTGGGCAGCTCTTTTGAGGAGCTAGGCTTGTGAATCTGTGTCCCCCCTCTCCCCACTCTGAGTCACTGATAAAGCCAGAGTGCCCTTATTTTTAGTGCTGTTGCTGTTGTGGGGCTGTAACCATTAGCCAGTAAGAGTCTTAAGGGAGGAGATAAACATTAATCTGTTGGGCCTTCCCCTCAGCTGCCACCTCCGCATTGCAAGATGCTTCTCCCCGCACCTGCCCGGCAACCAGGCCTGTGAGCTCTGGGGTGGAGGGTAGTGAGGTTGCGGGGTCAGGGAGAGGGCAGATGGGTCTGCAGCTTTGGGGCTGGCTAACTTGGTACCTTCTTCCCAAGTTCAGGGACTGGTGTGTGTGTGTGTGTGGGGGGGCAGAGGTAAGGCAGCCTAACATCCTCTCGGTCAGCTCTGAAAGAAGCAAACCCTTCAGCCAGCAAGCAGTGCCAGCATTGCCAGCTCAACTGCAGCCTCTGAAGGTCCCCAGCTCTGAGGAGCTGGTGGAATGGGGGTTATAACCTGTCCTCCTAGCTGCATCCTGGGCGAAGCAGGGCTGTTCAGTGGTCATGCTGAACCCAAGGGTGGGAAGGAAGGCCTGACCTCGATCTTGGGGCAGCTGGAGTGGATTAGTTGGGCAGCAGGAACTAATCTCTGTCTGTCCCCACCTCCTTTTTCCACAAAGCAGAGCTGCTACTGGAGGAAGCTCTGGGACAAAGCTAGAAATAGTTGGTGAAACAATAAATATGATTTTTTTCTAGTATCTATAATCCTTACATTATCTCAAACTAACAGTCCTATCCCTTTCCTGCTATTGCACCTTGGACAAGTTACTGAACTCTGGACATCAGTTTCATTATCTGTAAAATGGAACAGTTATAGTCCCTGCCTTGTAGGATTGTGAGAGTTTATAGAGGCTCATTACCTTTTAGGGTAGAGAGGCAGGGTAAGGAGAAGCCCTTTTCATGGGAAACAATGTGGACATGAAGGCATCTATCTGCCTGGGCCTATGAGAAGTTGGGATAAACTGGGCTGTGTCCCCAAAGCCTAGAGCTGTTCTTATTTTTCTTTTCTCACGTATCCACTCATCATAGCATAACGGTGGAGAAATTGGGTGGGTATGTAAAAATGGCATGGAGGCAGTATCCTCTGACCTCCTGTAACTTCAAGAAGTTAGAGGCATCAACAGCCCCAGGGTGGTTCCTGTGAGACAGAGGTCAGACATGCTACCACCCTCCAGCCTTGCCAATTCTGACATGGTCTTTGTGTCCCTCTCACAGCACTCTCTACTTCTCTGCTGGGTTTGATAATTTGTTGCTGTGACCACACAGAACTCACATACAAGCCTCATGATTATGGAGTTTATTAGGGAAGTAACTGGTTACACTTCAGGTTCAGGAACCCCCAGGATACAATTCTTTGATTGGGACAGCCCTCCTTTGACCATGTCTGCAGGCACGCCTTTCTTTGGCCCTTGGCATCTCAGCCTGGCCTCTGCTCGGCTTGGGCAAGTGTTATAAACTCTTCTAGCTCTGCCAATAGGTGCCCAGTAAGGCAACCCACTCTGCCAGCAATCCTCCTGCCCGAAGGCACTCAGCTTTCTCAGTCTGTAGGCGGGAAGACAACTGCTGTGTCTGTGGCTGGGGTCTGCTGCTGGGGTCTCCTGCTGCTGTTACTCTGCTGCTGCTTCTCGCTGTCTCTTGCCATCTCAGCAATGTGTTGCAGCTCTCTCAGTCTCCTGGGTCGAGGAAATACAGCACAGGGATCTTGGGTCCAAAGGACGTACTCCACTCCTGGCTCATCTTTCTTGATGGTTGTGAGATCCTCCCTTCCTCTTCAGGGATAGCTCATTTAAGCCTCGCAAGATGGCAGAACCTATTCTGACCAATGCTGACCAGTTGCCACATTAAGATTCCATACACCTTATTTGCACAGTCCTCACCCACACAAGGGGGCCATGCACCTTATTTACATTATTAGCAAGCTATCCAATCCCCTTGGTGGACCACAAGCACCTCACATTTGCATAGTCCCACCCAGACATCTGGTGGGAGTCACAAAGATCATGGCTAGAAGGGCCGTATTAAGTAATGGACTGCACAGCAGGATGACTTTGTATTTTAAGCCTCGGTTTCTTCATTTGTAGTATGATGGGGCTAATCAGAGGTTCTACATCACAGAGTGTTGTGAGAATGAAATAAAGTAATCCATGCCTTTGCTTCATATATAGTCAATGCTTAGCAAATTAGTTACTACTGCAACTATTACTGACAAGCACAGTAAGCCACCATTTACAGAAGGAACTCTACAAAGCACTACTTAGAAAGTTTCCCCTCTGACGTGCTTGTGACCAAAAGTGCTGTAATGTAGAGTGTGAGAATTGGGGACAGTGGGAGACTGAGGGGGTTGGGTCATAGGTAGAAGATGGCACAGTTTGCTAAGAGGAAAGGGGAGACATCCCGAATGAGGTAGTTTTTGGTGGAATTCCAGCAAGTGGAGAATAGGTAGTTTGGTGGTGAGGGTGGGGGTGGGGGTTCTTTGAGTAACATCTCTCTTTCCCCTGGAGCCCTGGAAATAATTGGCCATGCAGCTCCCTTTGCTCTGGGGCCCTGGTCATTTCACCAATGTAGAATAACCCAGAGCCTGCTGAGTGCTGTGTCATCAGGGCTCCCAGCAGCAAATGGCCAAGAGAATCCTGGGAAGAAACAGGGTTTGTGTCACAGTTGCTCTTTCTGTTAAGTGGGCATAATAATAGTATCTGCCTTACAGGGTTGTAATGACAATAAACTGAAAAATGTGTCTGCCTGGTGTCGAAACACACTCTCATAAATGTTAGCTATTATTATTATTTGGAGTTCTTTGGTGGTGGACATGGTAAATGGGCTTAGCTGCTAATGGAAAGGTTAGAGGTTCAAGTCCACTAAAAACACTGTGGAAAAGAGATGTGGCAATCTGCTTCCCCCCAAAATAAATCAGTCATTGAAAAGCCTTTGGAGCACAGTTCCATTCTGACACACGTGAGCTCACCATGAGTCAAAATCAACTTGACAGCAGCTGGGTTTTTTAGTGTTTTTTTTCATCATCATTATCATCTTCATCATTGTCATCATTATGCTTTGAGGTTGCTATGAGGATTAAATAAGATGATAAATATGCAAAGTTCTTAAAATATGCACAGTGCCTAGCCTCATAGTAAATGCTCAGAAAAAGTTAGCTACTGTTGGTGTTTCTAATACTGGAAACCCTGCTGCAGTGAGATCCCTGTTGTGGAAAGAACACCAGAGTTGTTTTTTTGTTTTTGTTTTTGTATTCTTAATTTGTATTGTGATTTGGATGAAAGTTTACAGAGCAAATTCACTTTCCATACAGCAGCTCACATACACTTTGTTTTATGGCATTGACTGCAATCTCCCACAGTGCAATAGCTCTGCTCCCACTTCCTCCCCATAGTTACCACTGGCCTGTGTCCTTCCTTCCCATGCATTCCTGCCCCCCACACTGGCTTACTGTGCATACATAGCCCTTCTATTCTCCCATGATTGATTAGATCTCCAAGGAGTGTATCTACCTAATGTAAATGTTCAGCTCATATGCCTGTCTTTTGTTTGGCTGGAAGCCGCAGGAGTGGGTTCAGTTCTAGACCTGAAGGGCAGCTAGGGTCCGTGGTCTCAGGGGTTCCACCAGGCTCTATCAGACCAGCAAATCTGGTCCTTTTTTTGTTTGTTTGTTTGTAATGATTTTGAGTTTTGTTCCACGTTGTTCTCCCACTCTATCTGAGATCTCCTACAGAGATCCCCCTCCGAGTGGTTGACAGTGGTAGCTAGGCACCATCTAGTTCTTTTGGTCTCATAGTCATACAGGCTGAGGATCGCACGGAGAACACCAGAGTTTTGAGTTATAGATCTCAGTTCAAATCCCAGCTCTGCTACTCACTGGCTCAGGTACTCACCCTTTCTAAGGTACTTCCTCACCTAGAAAAAGTGGTCATAATACCTGTCTTGCAGGATTACTGTGACGCGTTGCGTTAAGTTGGCAGAACATAAAAGGCATAGTTGGTGCCCAAGAATTGAAGGAGTGAATGGCCAGGTGACCACAAATAGAATGCATGGTTGATGGCTTTTGTTTTTTCTCTTCTCCTTTTAGATCACCAGAAACTAGAACGTGAAGCTCGAATATGCCGACTTTTGAAACATCCAAACATTGGTAAGTGTCCCTGAGCATAATGATGCTTCAATATTTTGTTGGAGTGGGGAGAACAGACATCCACTGGTTTCGTCCACTGGTCTTCATAGGGTATCTTTTTTTGCCCAAGCAGCTGTGTCTTGCTCAGAACTGCAGGACATTCTAGTGTAGAGACCTGAGTACCTCCACACCCACTGTGCCATCTTAGGGCCGGGGTACGAGGTATCAGAATAGGTTTCTTTCTTCCTCTTCTCTTTCCTTCTTTGTGCTGAGTTCCAGGGTCTGTAGCTGTGAGCCTCAGGGCTAGGAGCCTGCCAGGGCTCACCAGGGGCTGTCCGTGGCCATCAAGAAAGGCTCAGGATTTTGTTTCTGGAGCTGAAAGAGTTTTGTTCCTGCCGCAGTGTCGCACACACTCTGGAGTTTCCATGGCGCTGCCGTTTGTCCTCCCCAGAGCCAGGAAAGCCAGCTGCCCACCCGCCTGGCTTCTCTGCAGCAGGGTGGCAGAGCTGTTCAGATGGGGAAGGAGAAAAATGAAGAGGATTTCTCCCTGCTCCCACCCTGACTGGGGGACAAGAGCACATTGTTCGTTGTTCTAAAGCCTGAGGAGGTTTGCCTGCTACAACCCACTCCCGCTCAGTTTTACATTGTTCAGCTGAAATGGTCTTTGGCAAAATAGTTGGCCCTGATTTAGTGTTCCTTGAAGAAGAAGGGACAGAAGGGCTGGCTGCAGTATCTGAGCAGAAACCCCAGTCTTGACTTGAGGCAGAGTAGGCCGCATCTCCTAGGTTTTCACTGAAAGCTCTAAGTCATCACAGAGGACACGTATTCTGTGCTCCTTAGGCATGACCTAAATATCCAGGGGCTCCCACAGTGACCCCAAAACTGGCTGCAATGCCTGATTGATGTCAAAGGCTGTGAGGCAACTTGCTGAAGCTTGATGCTTCCTCCAAAATTACCCAGCCTCTGGCTTCCTAGATCTTGGGCTGGAACACTCAACCTGAGCTCTCGCGTGGGAAAGCCGAGGTCATACTCCAGTCCAAGGGGAAAGGAACAGCTCTGAGGTAACCAGAACTCAAACCATGCAGGGCTTTATAGATCGAAATCAGCAGCTTGGATTTCACCTAAAGCAGATTGGTGAGCCAGAGCTCAGCTCTGCCTGGTGCAGTATGTCCCACAGAGCCAGCACCTTTCAACGTCTGGGTTCTGGTCAGAACAGCTAGAGCTCCTGGGTGGTATCTGAGGTCAGACCCTCGCCCAAAACAGCACAGTGGGGACGAATGTGTTACCAATTGGTTGGTGCAGCGCAATAGAAAAGAACACCTATAGAATGAAAAAAAAAAAAAAAACTGTCTCCATAGGGTTCTCTTGGCTGTGATCTTTATGGAAGCAAATTGCCAGACCTTTCTCTCATGGCACTATTGGGGGGTGGTTTTGAACCACCACCTTTAGATTAGAAGTCGAGTGCAACCATTTGCACAACCAAGGCAGCAGTCAAAAATTCAGGCATGATTTATTTGGCTGGCTCTATGGTCAAAAAATGTTTTAGTTATTTGCCAATATTTAAAAACAGGTAGACTTCACATTTTAAAAAATTTTGTTTCATGGCCTTTCAAATCAGAAGGGTTGGCTCTGCTGAACCTGCACCCGTGCATGGTAAGAGCCATCTGGAATTGAGTGGTCACCGCGCCCTTTGCCCATTGGCCACTGCCCTTGCCACTCCCTGTTATTTCACGGTTGCATTACCTGCCTGGCCCTGGAGACTTTATGAGTTTGTGACCTCTGACTTAGACATTCCAAAACAGGAAGGAAAAGCATATAAGTGACCAAAGCCATCTACATGTATGCAGGCCCACTTTCGTGTTTTAGTCCTGGATCTCAGGGTCTGAGGACAGTGACTTCCTTTCCTTTGTGCTCCTTTTGACCAACTTCCCCAGCAGGGATGACCGTTCTCGCACAGAGAGAAGACAAGGACAGATGATGCAGGAGGCAGAACCACATTTACGTTACCTGAAACATGCTTGACCATGGAAGGTCAAGGTATGGTGAAGACAATTGAGACACAAACAGGAAGGACAAAAATGAGATTCTAGCTGAAAAAAGTCTTAGCTTTATTTTTCTGTATTTCTAGAAATTAAATGTATACTTCTGGACTTCGTAGGTTGTATTTGATTGGGTCCACTGAAAGCACTTGCTGTCAAGTCAAGATAGTTCTGACTTTGTGTGTGTGAGTGGACTGTGCTCCGTAGGATTGTCAATGGCTGATTTATTTTCCAGAAGTGTATCCCCAAGCCTTTCTTCCAAGGTGCCTCTGTGTGGACTTGAACCCCCAACCTTTAGTTAATAGCTGAGCTATTGACTGTTTGCACCGCTCGGGGACTCTGTTTGATCTGGCAGCCCTTTCTTTTGATACCTGCTCCAAGCCTGGAAGAAAGGCATACAGAGCACCAGACTGATCCAGCATCTTGTTCTGTTAGGAAGGCAGCAAGACTCAGGAATGACCCCCCAAGGTACAATCACTTTGTCAGAATCTGATGGTCTAGAACTGTACCCCTTACAGCACTGCTTCCAGATCCTGAGGGATGCTGGTCTGGAGCCCTAGCCCAGGGTCAAGGGCAGGAGAGGAAAGGGTGAGTCAGGACTATGTCTTGAGAGAGCTGGCTGGCTGGACTCCCTGGCTTCCGGTGGGAGTGAGGGCTTGAGGAGATGGGTCCAGGAGGCAAGGTTGCCATGGATCCTGACCTAGCTTAATTCACTATTCCTGTCCTCTCTTCTGCCACTCTGTCCTTCAGAGCGGTGGCCCTTTTGGCTTCAGCCTCATTAACTCCATTGGGGATACAAATGAGCCAACCCGAGACTGGCACAGGTTTGAGGAAGCTGAGAGCAGAGAGTGCACCAACAATCTCTGGCTGCTGTCAGACTCAAAGGTGCTTGAATTTAGAAGGGAGTCCCTGGGTGGTGCAAACAGTTAACATGCTTGGCTGCTCACTGGAAGGTTGGAAGTTTGAGTCTAACCAGAGGCTTCTCAGAAAAAAGACCTGGCAGTCTGTTTCTGAAAACTCAGCCATTGAAAACACTGTGGAGCACGGTTCTGCTGACACACATGAGGTCACCATGAATGGGAGTTGACTTGATGGCAACTGATTATTTGGTAGAAGAGTTGAGGAATTCCCAGTTTCTACCCTAAGAGAGAATCTGTACCAGGAGTTAAAATTAAAAGCCTGTTGGTTATAAGGCTGCTGAACTCAAAACAGTCCTGGCAGAGTATCACCAGAGATGAGTTGAGAGGGGGAGACACCATGGTGCTGATAGTCTGAAGTCTGAGTGTAGTGTATTCCACTTGTGATCTGCTTGCTCCCTGCTCTAAATTCCTCTAATGAATAGACTCTGTCTTCCTTCATGCTGAGCAGCCCCAGCAGTTTCAATCCCAGTCTAGCATTGTGGTTTAAAGCAGCACTTCTCATACTTTAATGTGCCGTGCATCACCTAGGGGTCATGTTAAAACATCAATTCAGTAGGTCTGAGATGGGACCTGGGATTCTGCCTGCCCCAGCAGTTTCCAGATGATGCTGATGATGCTGTTGGTCCATGGACCAAACTTGTAGGAGCAAAGGTCTATGGTAGGGGCTTTGGTGTCATAGCCACCCAGTTTGAGCCTAGAGTTTGCTAGTTAGTTGCAGTTAGATGTTGTGACCTCTGGCCAGTTATTTAATCTGCCTGTGCCTCCATTTCCTCATCTGTAACCCCTTCCTGGAGTTGTTGTGAGAGGATTCAGCAAAGAAAGGAGGTCTAGGAAATGAAGATGATGAAAACAGAGATTACTCAAGCTAGGCTGCCATTTGTCTTGGGCCCAGGGCCCATTTAGCTGACAGATTTCTCTGCTATTAACACGTTGCATTCTTGTTACATTTGCTGAGCTGATTTTGATACATTGTTGTTAACTAAAGTCCATTGGTTAGTTTTTTAAGAATTGGAAATAGCCACAATGTTTGGATTGTGAACTTTATCAGTCCCTAAAGGTACAAACCATCAAGAAAAGATATTTAAGTGTTTTTTCTTCCTTCTCCAGCTTTTAAAGAATGATAATTAAGTTTCTTGCGGAAATACAAAAAATACTTCCTTTTCCAAGATCTTTCTGTTCTCTAGACTTTGCCTGGTCTTTCTTGACCTTGATGACCCTTCCCTTTAACATGAAATAGAGCATCAGGTTATCTTATCCCCTACATTCATAGCACCCTTTACTTCTCTTTCATAGCCCTCAACACTAGAGGGGTTAGTTAAGCATATGTGGAAAGGCAGTGGTTGAACTCTCACTTTCCATGAGGAAGACTTGGGTTGCATTCCCAGCCAGTGCACCTCATGTGTGTTGCTATGATGCTGAATGGGTTTCAGCAGAGCTTCTAGCCTAAGGTGGACTATGAAGAAAAGTCTGGCAATTTACTACTGAAAACCAGCCAATGAAAACCCTATACCAATCATGGTGATGGCACAGGACCAGACAGCATTCCATTCCATTGGGCATGGGGTCATCATGAGTCAGGGTGCCAAGTCAACAGCAGCTAACAACAACAACATTTGTGTAATTGCTGGTCTAGAGCCTATCTTCTCCATTCAGCTGGAAGCTCCATTCATAGTGGCAGGGACATGGCTGTCTTTGCAGCAATGTCAACTTCATGTTTCATGCATATAGCCTGTAGCCTGCTTCATGTTTCATGACATGTAGACATGCCATACCTGCAATCATGTTACTTCAGTGTACAAAAAAAATGAACTCACTGCTGTCAAGTCAATCCTGACTCATAGCAACCGCACCTTGGGTTTCTGAGGTGATATCTCTACGGAAGTAAATTGCCCAGTCTTCCTTCTGAGGAGTGGCTGGTGGATTTGAACCACCAGCCTTCTGGTTAGCAGTCAAATGCCTTAGGCACTACGCCACCAGCTTCAGCGTAGGTGCCTCATAAACAGTCGTCAAAGGAATGGATTTACAAGAATCAGAATGTCCAGGTCTAATGGGGACTGATTGG